TGCCTTCCAAAAAAACTGTTGCCACAACGTTGGAAGCACACTATTTTCAAATATATCACTGTATGTTGTAGCATTAATTTTCCCCTTTTTTCCCACTGTAACTAAAGAGCCAAGTCTAAAATATGAAAAACAGCCCCAGACCTAAAGTGGACAGTGTGTCCACAAACATAGTTTATAAACCAGAGGCCGACCAACCACAAGTAGCACTGAGGAGTCCAAAAATCATCTGCTCACTTTAACAAATATGCATTACTGTAATCACTTTAAAATTCCCCTTCTTTATATTTGATTTAATATATCAAACTACTGTAGTTATTTCTTACTTTTAGAGGTGATTTTTCAAATTATTTTTTAGTTTTACATGTAAGTACAGTAATTGACATTGTTATAAATCTCACAAGTGTTCTATTGATGAAAAGTGTTCCATGTGCACAAGTAATCTTACTGGAAATACTGAAAAAAACGATAGTAGAATACACACTCAAGTACATAAGGTTCTACACGAAATGCATGTACATGCTCACACAAACACAGGAGGGGACAGAGACAATGAGAACATGAGGGGAGAGTTAGCATTTCATTAAGGTAAGTGCATTTGTAAAACCTTCCTCTCCTCAATTTCAGAACAAGCTAAATGGAATATCCCTTCTAGCCATCTTAACTTTGGGCTTTTTCTGATAAACCTGCTGAAATGATCCACCTGAGGTTCTACCTGAGTCCAGTTTGGAGAAAATACGTGCAGAAACAGACACATCACCAATAATAATAATAATAATAATAACCAATGAGACAGGCAAGAGCAAGCTCGGCACTTACAACTGTTGTTGTCTCAGACAACAATTAAACATCCTTACTGAGGCAGAGAGCGATGGGTAGCAGCATCCCTGTCGTGCTGGGTTGGGACTTCATTGTTTGCTCCACAAGTCCCGTGGATCTGAGTCCCACCTCTGAACCAGAGGCTCTGGTGTGAAGCTCCCACTGACTGTAAATCCAAAGAGTGTAAAGTTGCTGTTTCACAATTTGATGTGCGCTGACATCCGTTGGGAATTCATCAGATTGAAAAAGTCCAGCAATTCATAGAGACACAACCCGGCTGGATTAACAGTGAAAGGGGCCGATGCATCGCAGAGAGTAGAGAGTGTGTGTGTGTGTGTGTGCGTGTGTGCGTGTGTGCGTGTCCACTAGGGAGGGGCACAAGGCGAGAGCAATAGAGGGCTTGGAAGCAGCAGACCAATGACAGAAACGCAACACAGCACACTGGATTAGAGTGTTCTCATTTCCGGTCTTTAGTATCTAGAACATTTATTTGAAATACAGATAAATTATATGTAGCATAATGGTGATAAACACGCTCAGGCACAATCTCTGCCTTCTTCATACACATGCACTGGCTACAAGCACATAGTATAACAGCTGAATAATGAGTTTGTCACAAATGGTAGTAGGCTAGAAGGGAACATGATCCGAAGTGTCGGGATTATTTATTTTTTTCATGTGGACAGCTGGGTGACATCCCAGAGAGGATAAGAGAATCCAGCTCACCTGGGAGTCCAACAAAAATGCAGAGGGCCCTCTGAGAATAAATGCAACCCACATGAGAACCATCTACACAGCTATGTGGGTCACGAGGGGTTATTGAAGAGCGCTGTGATGTGTCAAACATTCTTCACTAAAGATTGGACAGCGACAAAGTACACATGCAGACCCTGGTTTTCGATTGATGATTGTAAGCCATCTACTTTATTCCCAACTTTCCTTATGTGAGGGTCTGTCTTGCATCTTCCTCCTCTTCCTCTCTGCCTCTAAATCCCCTGCTATGCCCCCCAGATGGCTCACAGTCCATGCATTAGTGTAAATCCTGGTTCTGCATACTGACACAGGAGGAAATGGTAACTCATTGTTAATCTCCAGCTTAAAACAACCATTAACTGCAGAATAATCTGTCTGTGTCTGAAGCCACCGCTCCGCATCAATACATCATGAGAGCTACTTTGACAGCAACTCCAGCTGTGAGTCTTGCTGTGAACATCTGTATTATAGCTCAGCAAATATGTTTTTTCCATTCTCACCGTGCAGAGGTGCTCAAGATCGATCAAGCTGGATGTGAGGCATTAGTAGAAAACTACTGTGTGTTTAAGTCATTGCACAAATTTTCATCGATAATTGAGTGTTCGGGACATTTCTTGCTGATACATGTTGATGCAACTGTATACATGGGATGCCAGGGGATAGGGTCCTGTGAGACAACGCAAGACACATGATGAAGATAAATATTAATGCTGCAGTGTGCAGTGATATTTTGATAATAGTGTTCTTACAACTTTGTGTCAAATGTTTGGGGAAGGCCCTTTCCTAATTAATCTATAAAGCGAGGTTCCTAAAGAGATGTTTTCCCAGTTTGATGTGGACAGAGCCCTGACCTCAACCCCATCAAACATCAAACCAGGCCTTATCATGCCACATCAGTGGCATCTTGTGCCTGACTGGGAGCAAATCCATGCAGCCATGACCAAAAATGTTGGGGAACGACTTCACAGACAAGTGGAGGCATCAAATGAATGTCCATGTTTTAAATGCTGTCTATCAATCACATATGGGTGTAATATAATGTCTTCTGAAGCAGGTGATCCATCCACACAATTATGCTCTCTAACAGGAAATGTGTTATCTTGGTGTCCCCGTTTGCATGTTGTGTTTTTACTGCAACTAAAGCATTAAACATGTGTTGTCAGGTATCCAGATTCATACAGGTGTGTGAAGTGCTGCACTAATCATTCTCCTCACAGCAACATCTCCCACCACAACTAAAGAACTTCCACGAATCCCTGACCAACAACCTTCTCACCTGGTCACTTTTCTGCTCTACAAAGATGTGCCTTATCCTAAATCCAGTTGTAAAGACATACTGTACATTTCAAGGACTTTAAAAATGTATTTCAGTAAACTTTGAAGTGATACTTCACCAAAAATCCATCCACAGAGAATGAAAACACGTAGACTTCTCAAAAAGTGCCTATGTTTGTGATTTGACCTGTTACGGAAAACAGAGTTGCTGAGCTAAGATGTAGAGTAAGTAAAATAAACTTCAATTGTGATCACTTTTAACAACAAAAAGAATAGACAGAACTTCCTGCAGCATAATCCACTATCTGGTTACTAAACGATGACGGCAGTCATTTTAAATGACTGTTACATTCTTTTAAACTCTGTTATTTATGATTTATGTGTTGACCTAAGTTTGATGATATGTTGCTTCTGACATGTAACTGCCTTGCCTGTGAGTTCTGTGTATGGACTGGGTAAGCAGCAAATAAATTACCCTTCTTGTCTGAATCTGAATCATTACTGTTTCAATCTCAAATCTTACATTTAATCCTCCATATAAAGTCATGTATACTGGTTTATATCTCCTGGGCTGGCTCTTTCCCTGCCCTCCTCTGAATTAAGCTGGGACATTTATGTAATTATAACTTCATTGTTTTTAATGTAGCCTGGTACAAGACAATACTCTATGCTCTATGCATAATATCTATGCTCTATGCAAAATATCTGTGCCCTAGGTCCGAGTATCGTTTAAAATGTTTTGATACCAATACCTCAACAATACTTTATATCAATTCCTTCCTTGACCTTTGTTATTCGTTTGACAAAAGTAGACTTATTTTTAATTGTTAAATGTTGCCTAAAAACAAGCACCTGTACAATAACTAAATAAAATACTAATATAATACTGCAACTGGCAAATTTACTAGATTTAAATCAGTACATACATGATAAATTAAATTAATTAATATTTGATAAATATTTGATAATCATTAATTCCAGTGTATAGCATATTAACCAAGATAGATCCAAAACCTGCTTACATACACCAGGTCTATATATATATATATATATATATATATATATATATCAAATATATAACAAATATATATATATATATATAACAAACAAAAGAAAATATGAATGTTGTATACATGTACAAGAAAATAATTTTTTTTAGCTATTATGTTCCTCAAGAAAACAGAAAAAAAAAACAAGAGACAAATACCACAGCAGAAAATTTATCAGATTGATCACCTGTTGCAGTCTTCTGATAGAAAGAAACCCTGCAGACTCTGCTGTGTCACATATTCTATTTAGTTTGTTTAATATTGTTAAAATATAACTAGCAATATGAAACCCAAAACTGTCATTTGACCTAATCCTAATTAGTCTGATGTCAAACAGTGCCTTTCAGGATCACGTGTTGCTTACATTGTTTTATTTCATTCACATTATATAATTACTCTCAAACCGTGAGATAAATCTGACACGTGAAGCTGTTGTTTGGCCTGAATGTAAAGGCTGCTTCGATAAAGGGCAACAGCAGCCATAGCAAAAGGAAGATCGAGTTGTGTAAGTTTGATCGACAGCACTGGATTAAGGCGTTATGCAACACTGTTGGGAGTAAAAAAAATAAATCCAGATGAGATTAGGATCTGGATCCTCGCTCTCCGTCGATCCATTCATCCGCCTCTCCCTCTGTTTTATGAAACACGTTATCACGGTAGGTGTTCATAATTACACATTTTAAATTGATGGGCTGAGGTATTGTAGCACAGCTTTACATTAATATTAAGGCATACAACATTTCAGTGCTTTAAAATGAGTATCAATTAAGCAAATAGCCACCCAAGCTGCCAACAGACAGACAGATAGAACAAATTAGGCCATATAGACAGGAGCTAAACCTCCATGCTTCAAGCTTTTATCCCACCGCCATCTAGAGGGGGGAAATCATGCTGCAACATGTACTGCCAAAGAACACACTTCAACTTCTGTTATTTCTAATTTAAATCTACTGTCAACCTAATAGAATAAACAAGAAAATAAATAAGAAAAACATAAGAAAAAGTAGTAGTATAAACCTGAACAATCGTTTATACCAAACTCTGCTCCCACTGTACAGGTACATTCACTGAAAGCAGTGTTGAAATGATTAGTCAAGATGATCAATAGCCTTTTTAATGTCTTGTGTGATTTATTAAGTAAAAATAGCAAATTGTGTCATTGACATAGTAGATGTTAAGTTAGGTGTTTTAAGGTATATAAAACAATAATGATGTTCAAGTTCAAGTCTTTATGATTTAATCATTTCATATGAATATGATAGAACTTGTATTACTTTTTCACAGCTGAAAATAAATACTCCTACTATGGTAATTTTTATCTCAACCCCTCCACTTGAAGGTGAAAACAATAAAAAGGATCTTCTGACCCACAGCCAATCGACTTAGTTACTGTGAAAATGGACAAAATCAGGACTCCTTGCGGCTGAGAAAGGATTCGGCACTATTTCGAAATGAAATTTACAATATGAGCAGAGCGTAGCTGTCAGACTAGGTTCAAAAATCAGAAATGTGACATCCTGTGGGAAAAAAACAGTCAGAGGAGAACAGAAGAGAGATGCAGCCACGATACTTCTGAGAACCTTTTGACCATAAACAGGCACATATATTCACTCGTATTCACAGCAGATGCTGTTTCACAGAACAACCTCGGGGGCAGACATACATGTTCAAGTTGCATAAAGTATCTTGACAACATCTTTTTCTTTGAACTTGAGATTTCCTTACAAATGCATGTCTTCAAAAAACATCCTTTAATAAGAGCACCCCTTCAAGTTTTAGGCTAAGGAATTCCTTAAAGTCCATTTTTTGTTGCACAAATGTCTTTAGCAACAAACGGATAACAACTAAAGGCAACTCAGATAAAGTCATGGTAGCTTGTTTTATTTCTTTGACTAACACCATAAGTGTGCCAAGAATAGTGTTTTGTTCACAAAAAAAATCCTAAGAATACTTAATCTTGCCATATAGCCTACTTTACCTCTGCAAATCTACTGAGAAATGTTTCTTGTAACAACCACCTAATTTAAATCCAGCCAAGGAAATCAAGACATTGTAAGATAAATCTTAGAGAAAAACCTTCTATGCAATTAGGCCGTTTTCTTCCCCATCAGTCTGGTTATAAATGTGTAACACAGCCTAACTTGTAAATCTGTGCAAACAATGAGTCTCATTGAATGAATAAAATATGTATTGACCCTGGTTGGGCTGCAGGTCAATAGTGGACTGAAGTCACTATGAGGTTATTAATAAACTACACTAGTCAGCCAACTGTTTTACATCAGGCCTACGAAAAATCAGTTCTACTTGATGAAAATAAATTGTCATCGCTCGTAGTTTTATACAAAATAGAGCTGGATCTGCTGTCTTCAAACACCTCGGTGTCACCTCCGGTATAGTCTGAGTCTCTGTGACGGGTCGTCTCCGGTGAAGTTCACCCATCAGATTTTCTTCCGGACGCTGAAAGCCACAGAGTTCCCGTACAGCAGCCGGTCCCGCTCCCGCACCTCCTCCTGCAGCTTGGCCTCGGCCACCCGGAGCTGGCGGATGGTCGCCTTCATCTCCTTCATCTTCATCTCCATCAGTGCGATGATGTCCCGCTGCTCGTTCAGTTTCCGCAGCAGCTCGGTGGACGTGGTGCCGGTGGTCAGCGAGTAAGAGTGGTCCAGCGGGCTGCTGGTCACACTGACGTACTGCACGGGCGGCTGGTGCACGGTGGAAGCGGTTTCCACCGATGAGTCGTCGGCGGTCAGCTCTTCGGCGCTGCCGATCGGCGCGGTGTAACAAGTCCCCTCTGACTGGGCGGGCAGCCGCGCCGTGCCCAGGTACTCCCCGTTTTGGCCTATCTGGACCACGGTGATGCTGTCGTCGCTCGCCTCACCGCCAGCATTGCCCTCGGCTCCTTCTGCCGTGCTGCTCAGGACGCTGGTGAGGACAATCCCGGAGGTCGCTGCAGCGGCGGGGGCAGGAGCTGCCGCGGACACTTTCCTGCCTCTTCCCCGCCGACTCCTGCGCTCATTCACCCCCCGCAGAGGGAAGAGGGACGGGACTCGGATGCTGTAGGTCTTCCTGCCGCCGGCGAAATGCACGCTGCAGACTCGGTGTCCCGTTGTGGGCTGGAAGGTGCTGAAGCAGCCGCTCACCCCGGCTCGGGAGATGTTCCTCAGCCACAGCTCCCTCAGCGTGGTGTCTTTAGGAAATGTGTAGAAGCGCAGGTCCCGGTCCCGGTGTGAGTTGTTGTAGCAGCCAGGGACACAGCAGGTGAACCCGGGCATGTTTACGTCAACGTCAAGGCTAAAAGCACGGTCTTCGGGTCAAGTTTAGGTTATTTTATTGTTGTTTCTTTATTCTATGCGTTGTTATAAAGCTCAGTGGCCTGCAAGCGGAACTACACGTCCCACAACGCTAACAACTTCCTGTTTATTTTTCACCAAAAGTGAGCCGCTCTTCTTCGTACGACGACTCAATCCACGCGAATTTATCCGGACTCAACGCGCACGGAGCTCGTTCTAGTGCTGAATTTGAGGCTTATGTTTTATTTTCGGTGGTAAATGTCTAGTTTTGTTCTTCGTGGTGTTATCAAGCCAATCGTCCTCCGCTGAGAACTAAAAGTCCCATAATTCCTTGCGCTTCCTGTCCAAGTCCGCCAGTAAACGACCGTCCCTGCTGGTCAGTATGTGGTAACGCAGGTCTGAGCTCAGAGAAGAGGCCACTGTTTTGTTTCCAAGACCAATCTTCGTGTTTAGTTATAATACAATACAGCCACACAGACAATTCAGATAATTATAAAAATTATATTACATATTCAGGGGTGTAAGGAAAATAACTGCAGGGATAATGAAATTGAATTTAAACTATTTGTATTGTGAGGATACACTTAAATCTATCTATCTAAAAATATAACTCATCGCTACAATATGGTTTATCTAGATCTCATTTCTGGAGGTATTTACATCTGTCCGGGAACTAATAAGTTAAATTCAGAATGTCCTTATAAAGATGTTAAACCTCCTAATCATCCTATTGATCACACCTAAACCTTAACATGAAGTGTTCAATAGGTAAAAGTTCAAATGGAAGAAAAAATGTAGCCTAATGGCTTGTTCAATTTTACTCTTGTTACATTTGAATCCAGTGCAGTAATTTGAATCTGTTTCCCTCCACCGGACATTGTGTATGTCCACGTCTGCAGGTGGCAGTAACCTTTATCCGCCACCTGATGGCCTCGTAGATTGCTGCAGTAACCACTGGAAAGTACAGCCCCATATCTCCCTGTGGAGGATGTACTGGTTTGCTTGGAGAGGGAGTTGTAGCCCTGCTGTTTGTTTGTTGTTTGCAACTGCAAAAAGGGATTTTTCTAGAAAAAGTGCGGACTGACATGTTGTCAACTTGACAAACTGTTTCCATTAATTGATTAAAGGACAACAATGCCGGTTGTAGGTTTGTCAGTCAGCAAGATAATTAGAATTGGCATACTTAATGAAGTATAGTAGAAATCTAATAAAGCTCTATAAAAGCTTCCCAACTTGACCGCAGGACAAAGTGGGAAAGCTGCTTTGAGACAAAAGTTGGTTTTCAAAGGGCCAAGGATGAGTGAGATGGCTCCGTCTCTCTGACAAAATGAAATGACGACATGACAGATGTCCATCATGAACTTTATTCACCCAACCTTTCCAATGCTCATTTATTATTGATAATAAAGAGCAATCTATCAGCCAGTGTTTGTTTTATGTGGGATAAGTCGGCTCATTAACATTTTTGACAAAGCTGATTGCAAAAATCTAGCAACATATGTTGACTTAAGCTGATGATACCCAGAGCAACTTTTAGAGCAATCATGCAGGGCAACGTTGCCGTCATTGGTAATGAGTAAAGATTACTACCGTAATCCTCTTCCCCCACCACTCTGCCACCTGCCCCGCACCGCCGCTATCCATTCAAAACATAGTCAGACTTGCCACTAGCAAGACTGCCCAGCAACATTGCCCCGTGTATCATCAGCTTAAGGCCTCCTGCAATAATAAGAAGTGTTAATCAAATCAAATGTACTTTATTTGTCACATTGCGATATTCATCCTCCGCATTTAACCCATCCCTCAAGGGAGCAGTGGGCAGCCGCTATGCAGCGCCCGGGGACCAACTCCAGATCTTATGTCAGTGTCTGGTCAAAGCGCTGACTGAAGAAACCTAACATGTTTTTGATGGTGGGAGAAACCAGAGCACCCGGAGGAAACCTACTCAGATACGGGGAGAACATGCAAACTCCACACAGAAAGGCCGGGGAGACCGGGGTTTGAACCTTTGACCTTCTTGGAGGCCACAGTGCTAGCCACTGGAGCACCGTGTCGCCCAATAATAACACTGTGAATGAAATACTACTAAAGCCCTAGGTTACGGATACATTTGGCACTTTACTTGTTTTTTACTGCAAATATACTTCTATGCGTTTGTGTATGATTCATCCATGACATTTACTTTTAATGAGGTATGTTTGCTCTGAAGTGCTGAAATGTTTAATTCAATATGTGACGTGATGACGTTTTCCATTAAGTCATTATAACAGTTCATGGTATGTTACAGTTTTTCTCAATTGCTTAAACACAATAACCTTTAACCTAAGCTTTTAAACTAAAATTTCAAAACCCTAATGCCATCTATCTAAAAACACATCCCTACACTATAAACCCTATTCCCTGTTTTAACACGTGGAGAAGGAGATTCTCTGGCCTGTCCCAGACCAAAGACAGGATGCTGGGGCAGAATTATTTTTTGTTGTTTGTTTGGTGTACAGTACATTAAAGAATTAAAGGCAAATGTATACATTTGTTGTTTCTTTTGTTGTGGTCATCATGTGAAAAGGTTTTTTGAGGGGGAGAACCACAAGTAGCATTACTTAACCAGTTTTTGTAGTATTGTTTTGAATTTATCTCACCAGTGTGTCATATCAGAGGGTAAAGTTTGGTTTTTCAGCAAGATTGAATGGTTTTGAGTGGAGAGCTTAATTTTGACCTGAAAATAGGAAGTTTGGGGGATTGGATGAGAAGTTATGGATCTGTGTTTAGAGTTTTGAGAGGAGGACGCATACTTTCAGGAAATGTGTTTAAGCAATCGAGAAAACTGTAATATGATGTGAAGCAGTGGTCTGAAGGTTGTATTTGTTTTTACCTTTAGAAGGTTCAACGCTAGACTACGCTTGCTCTTCTTCCAGCTCCTCGCCTAGAGTTCTTCCCATAGTCCCTTCCCTATCTTTCCTCCTCACCTCCTCCTCTCACAGCTCATTCTCCACTAGCTCATCTATTAGCACCCCCTGTAGCAAACCTGGCTCCTCCTCTGGTTTTTCCCCCAGGTTCTCCCTTACTTACTCCTATCGCACCTTACCTCACTCATCCCCTTTTAATTGTAGCGGTAAAAGCTGTAATAGTATTAGCAACAAAAAGGTTCAACCCATTAGAGAGGTCAAAATGGGGAGGGAGGGGTTACTGCATAAGTAGAATGAGTTGAGTTGCATTGAAGGGAAGAAGAGAAGAGAAATGATAAGAAGATGGAGGAAAGAACTGAAGAGAAAGAAAAGAAGAAACATGAAACAATGAGTACAGAGAAGAGAAGAAAAAATATGAGAAAGAAAAAGGTGAGAAGAAACTATTAGAGTATGGCAAGAAAGAAATAAAATGTTAAAAGAACAGATAAGAGGGGATGAGACTTCAAGAAAAAGGAAGAGAGTAGAAGAAAAAGGAAGAGACTGTTACAGCAAAGCAGTGAAAGGTTGTGAAAACAGCAGAGATGTGAAGAAACATCCATTTGTTTCTTTGTCTCCCGGAGAGGAGAGAAGAAATGGCCTACATGTCATATTCTAAATCATCTGATCTTTGTTTGGCACAGATCCTTGCAAAAATCACACCATAATCATTTGAATATGTTTTTCAATGAAAATGAGAATAAAAATGATAATTCCCGCCAATATCGCAAAACCTATCATAATTGCAATTAGATTTTTTTTAAATGAAAATGTATTTATTTTCTCACATAGTCTACCGGAAACAGGTAGGTTTTTAGTACTGTACGGTACTGTTTTTAGGGATCCTAATGGAGGCCTGATTGGACAATGAGAAAAATTAAACATGAAAGGAAACATATTAGGACTACATGTTGCCTGTTATACAGTAAGTATGAAACAGACAGCCAGACAGGCCTGTTTGAATTTATTTTTTGTGTAACATCTCAATACTTAAAATGTTAATTTGTACAAATACCGTAAACTAAAAAGAAAAATGTTTACATGAAGTTACTTTTTCAAAGGAGGTCAGTACGGCTATCATACTGAATCATGGGAAAACATGGTGTCCGGTCACAGAATGCACTTGCTCCAGCAGCACACCAAGTTACACAAGTTCAATTATTTTCTATTAACTTTTTAATTGCCAATAACTTGTTTCACAGGAACAACTTTATGTTTACATGCTAACGCCGAGTCTAGTTGGTTCTCCGCCGGTGACACATCTCCCTCCTCTGTAGCGTCTCTGTGTCCCTCTCTTGGTTCTCCGCCGGTGACACATCTCCCTCCTCTGTAGCGTCTCTGTGTCCCTCTCTTGGTTCTCCGCCGGTGACACATCTCCCTCCTCTGTATCCCTCTCTTGGTTCTCCGCCGGTGACACATCTCCCTCCTCTGTAGCGTCTCTGTGTCCCTCTCTTGGTTCTCCGCCGGTGACACATCTCCCTCCTCTGTAGCGTCTCTGGCCTCCCCACAGTCCTGTCCCTGCTACTGAAGTTACCATTAGCAACTGGGCAGCGCCCGGCGGAGCAGCTACCGCCGCAGTCGATGGTGTTCTGGGAAATACAGTAGGTAGCTGACATTACGTTTTATTATAGGCCGTGTTGCTATCCAAAGTTTGAACACAGACAGATATATTAACTTTAACTTTAATATTAACTTTGTATAAGTACCTAACGTTTATCGGTAGATTCTTTACTTGGGTTTGCGGCTGTCTGGCCGGCTAGCTTAACATGCTAGCTAACGTTAGCTCAGTGTGTGTGCGTGTGTGACAGAGAGCGAGAACCAGAACTATCTGGTCCATACGCCTGTATTAGCTAACGTGGTGGCCACTTTCCGCATGTTTGTGGTACTGTAAGAATATATGGCTAATGCCCAACTCTTGATCACAGTAGCGACAATTTCGCGTGACATGGCTTTGTTATCTGACCTGCCACAACACAACTATGTTTGTTGCTTGTCCGATGTTCTGTGTGAGAGAGAGTGAGGCTTCAGCTGCTGTCAGTCTGGTAAATAAATGTTGGTTTGTTTGCTCACGGTGCCCTGAGGTGATGCAGTGTGGAAAAAGGGAGAGCTTATTTTTCAGGTTACATAGGTATGTAATGCAGGTGCACAGGCGCACACTCTTTCAGTCTGTTGTTTTACAGTCATGGCTGCAGGGAGACAAGTGTAGCACAGTGTCAGCTCCTGCTCATGCCCCACAACAATTACATGGACGACTGAAATCCACACAATATTTACAGGTCTGTAACAGTTAGATTAGGAAATCACCAAAGGTAAGTGGAGAGTTGGGAGTGCCTCAGGTGAGCTGAGCTACACAATGTCACATTTAACTTACTGAACAAGTAGCACTTAGTGTAGGATGAAAGTTATTAAATGTTGTTAGATAAATTGTTGACGAATTCAGCCGTTCTGTGTGCAAGTTTGTGAACATAAATGCCACTGAATAGCTGGATTTGGCACGTAGACATAAAATGCGCCTGCTTCAGAGGTGGAGAGGCCGTTTGATGGGTGTGGAGCATCTGAGGAATGGCATGTTAACTATGGAACAGGACACAATGTAAGTAGCTGTCAGAGACTGCTGGGGGAAAAAAACTAGTCTAGACTTCTGTTGGACATGTTTGTCCTGTTTGTTGGTACCGTCACTAGGGCTGGGAAATAAATGGGTACCATAGATACTCTGCTATGAGATGAGTTATTATCTGTGGTTTTTGTTATCTTAACACTGTGATGGATTAAATGTCTTAAATCCTGCATTACCGTAAATTGATTTTCTGAACTTATTTATCTGCTTTTGCTTAATGAACATTGATTGCTTTTACATGGATGGTCATTATTGCACACCTTTAAGTTTAAAGGTGGGGCTCGCCATTCTGGACAAATCCAACACCATTATATAGAGCGAACAACGACACAGCAAGTAATATAACAAACATTAGCAAACTGTCGCTGTCCCAAAGCCAGCACACCAGCTCCAGAGAGCGATACTCACAACTCTCCTGCCACTATAGCTAAAGCCAACACAGCGTGGGCAAGTCATTTAACGTTACCTGAAACACAAATCGTGGCTGGAACAGTTTTGTGTGGAGGGGTTCGAGCCCATTTACAGAGCCAGGGCTGTGTACAAACACCAGATTTTTTTTTCAGCACACACACAGTACAAGTGGACTGTGAGGATTATTTGCTGAATTTGACAAAAATATGTGTACTGGATTAAAATTGCTTACCCCATCTTTAAGTATTGTATGGAAACGGCATAAAACGACATAAAAAATGTCAATGTTGATTTTGTAACCTAGCTTCATTTGTCTGTTCTTTTATTTTTACAGGTACTGAAAGCTCTCTTTGAATTCCAGACATGGTAAAGGCCTTGACAGACGAGTGAATCGTTGTCTGTTGGGATGTTTGTGAAGCTGGCAATGGTTAACACGTAAGGTCGCAGTGAGTGGCCTTGCCATGTTGCCAGGAGTCGGTGTATTTGGCACGGGTAGCACAGCCCGAGTGCTGGTCCCGTTGCTGAAAGCTGAAGGCTTTGAGGTTCATGCGCTCTGGGGGCGAAGTGAAGAGGAAGCGTGCTGCTTGGCGAAGGAGCTTGGCATCCCATTTCACACCAGCCGATCTGATGACGTCCTACTGCACCAAGATGTCGACCTTGTTTGCATCCATATTCCACCTTCAATGACGAGGCAGATTGCTGTCAAAGCACTGGGTAACGGGTCACAAACACACAAACGTTTACTAAACTGCCAGGTTGTCCAAAAACCTTGGGTATATTTAAAGTGTTTAACTGGCACTTTTAAGCTTAACATTTGTAGTCATGTTTATCACAAACCATAAAACACACGGCATTGCTATAAAAAAACAGATATCAGATAAGCTCAGTGTTCATCCCCAGGTTCAGGTCTTACATTCCGATTACCATTTGCATGTTCATGTGAGTTATACAAATTGCCGACGTGACCTGAGCCAGCTGGGCGTGGCAGGTCGGCTCTGGAACAGATTTGAATTTTCTGACTGTAATGGCAAAACTCTCCAAACGATGCATATACTGGAAATGGCTTCTGTAACGTCTTTCTCAGGGTTAATCTTTGAGATGTGATTAATGGTGATCATAGCCGTGCCCATAGGGAACATAGTAATTTGAGGGTGGGAAACCCCAAACAAAACGTACAGACAAAAATTTTCCCACATCTTAACTCAGTTAGCAACACACTGAAGCATAATGTACACATTGTCGTATCACAGGATTGAGAGAGATCTAAAAAGTTAACCTACTGTATCTGATGGAATTCCTGAGTGTTGACCTCAGCTTCCTGTTTTAGTTGCAACTTCCTGAGTGTGTCCCCACCAAAGGACTTATCTACGGCACTACTTCCAAGGGGTATTGAAAGCCACTGATCTCCATATATAAAAACTGTGCACACCCTCTCTGTTATCACATGTGGTTGCAGGAGAACTTTGACTTTTGTTTATTCATACCAAACTCCAGGAACTGGGCAGTAATGCCATCTAAGGCAATCAACTCCACAGCGTGCCCGAGCAGTGAGACACGAAGGACACCCTACACTTTCAAATCATATTTAATATATAGTCATCTGCCATTTTAACTGTAGTTTAGGTACACTTAGCTGCAGTCCTGCAATAAATCCTACCTTTTGTGTTGAATCAACTTTATGTTAATTTTTGACGCTGCAAGTTGGTCTGTAATGATGTTGAATTGTGTGTAAGCAGGTTAAGAACCATAATGAGTTAACGTGATGCAACATCAAAGATTAATTCAAAGAAGGAAATCACTTGTTTAACCTTTTTCGTTGCTGCTGTTGCAAAACAAGGCAAGATTGTATCTTTGATAATCAAAATCCTGGTTTTCTCATTGCCTTTATCCCAGAGATCATTAAATTAAATTTTATCTAACTAATTATAACCCCTCTCTACCCCTCCTCGTTCTGCAGGTATAGGTAAGAATGTTGTGTGTGAGAAAGCTGCAACTGCTGTGGATTCATTCAAGATGGTGACTGCTGCCAGATACTACCCCCAGCTGCTCAGCATCATGGGTAATACCCTGCGCTTCCTGCCTGCCTTTGTTGCAATGCGCAAGCTGCTGGTGGAAGGTTATGTTGGCGAAATGCAGGTGTGTGATGTCCGAGTCTATGGCCCGAGCCTCCTGGATCACTCGTACGGCTGGACATGTGAAGAGCTGATGGGAGGAGGCGGTCTGCACACTGTCGGCTCTGCCATAATTGACCTTTTAAGTTACCTAACCGGTGCACGAGCCCATCGTGTTCATGGCTTACTGCGGACCTTTGTACAACAGAATGGTGTTATCCGAGGCATCCGCCGCGTCACCAGCGATGATTTCTGTTTCTTCCAAATGTTGATGGGTGAAACTGGGTCTAGCTCTGGTGGTGTGTGTTGCACTGTGACACTGAACTTCAACATGCCAGGGTCGTATGTGCATGAGGTTATGGTAGTTGGATCCACTGGGAGACTCGTTGCAAGGGGGACAGAACTGTATGGTCAGCGCAATGGGAGTAAAGGTGAGGAGCTTTTGCTAGGCGACAATGGGTGGGCAGGACCAGAGGTGAAAGAGATGCCCCTGCCTCACCTGCGGGGGCTGAGCTCCATGGTAAAGGCACTGAGACAGTCTTTTCAGGCTCACGAAGAGCGCAGGTCATGGGCGCGAGGACCGGTTGCCATGGCACCGACATTTGAGGATGGTCTGTACGTGCAGACGGTGGTCGAGGCGGTGAAACGGTCCAGCTGTAGTGGAGAATGGGAGTGTGTTGAAATCATGAGTCAGGAGCCAGATCCGAATCACAACCTGTGCGAGGCTCTGCAGAGAAATAAGAACTAAATTATTTATACACCCAGTGCAACTACTACATGTGTCTGACAAAACTTGGCTCTGAATGTTTTCCTTTAACTCAGCTGCAGTTTACATTACCATGACTACTTTTTGCATTTTCACATTTTGAGCAGAATATTTTTATTGAGAAAACGTAACTGTGTTGTGGATGTTTGTGCCCTCACCGTTGTGATTTGTTTGTAAACTTGTCGTCCACAGCTCCATTATTCTGATTCTCAGCAGAAAATATTGTATTAGCTGTGTATTTAGTTTTAAGTGTGTCAAAACCTAACTGTGCCCTACTGACGGGTTTATTTCCTGCACCATGCTAAAAAGTAGACAGAGCCCTTATTCTCACTGAAGCTTGGAGTCATGACGGCACATTTCCAGCTAAATAAGGTTGATACTCGTCACCTGTCAGTGAGGCACCACACCTGTGTCAAATATTGGCCAAAAGCAAATTTACTGGAGTCAAAAAAACAACCTTTCAGTGGATGTCTGACGTTTGCCTGTATCCTCACTTCAAGCAGCTCGTCTGGGTGCATTTCTGTTTTTAAGAAACTGTATTACTGATAATGAAAGATAGAGCCACCAAACGTATACCTTGTCCTTGTGACTGAGGTATGCCAGAACAGTTTTTTAAGTTATGTCATCGGAACCTCAGTAATTAGTTCCGATTTATTAATTTTTTGCAAGTGTTTGGATATTAGGATACACCAATAAATTGATTACTAGACATAAAAAAGTGTAGTTAGTGCACATACTTTCTGTTAACAACCCAGTTTTGAATCATGACCAATTGTTAATAACCACAAGGTTTTTGAAATGTATCTGTAAATTATTATTTGCTTTACAGTTGGGTCCCACACAATTTTTCCAAGCCTTTTAAGTAATTTGTCTCAGATTAAAAACTGTGTTAGTGTACAGTCTAACAGAGAAAACATTTTATTGTACATTTAAATGTTGATGTGTTTTGGTGTTAATTTATTCCCAACACAAGTTGCACCTTATTCTGTGTTTACTTTGGACGTGAATGTGGATGTAGGGATGGTTTGTCAAAACGAGGTGACGGGCAGAATTCAAATGATGCCCCACTGGAGCTCAAACTTTGTAAACTTCAGCATAAGAATAATGGAGCTGTGCAGA